ATGCGGCAACTTCATACTCGACATAATTCATTGTTTTCCACACTTGCCACACAAGATAATATTAATAAATTGACTGTCGTTTTAAGTGAAAACATCGCATAAACATAGCTTAAAATTGTTACGAGATATCTAAATGAAAAATTTCCTGAGCGCTGGATTGGCCGGGGAGGTCCAATAAATTGGCCTGCAAGATCTCCCGATCTATCTCTTCTAGATTATTTTTTGTGGGGGCACATGATATCTCTAGTCTATGCGGATAAGCCAGTCAATCGGCAGCAGTTATTAAATAAAATAACAGACGCTTGTAATAATATACGTAACGATGCGGAACTTCTTTTGCGTTCTACAACATCAATAATTCAAAGAGCAGAAGTGTGTGTAGACCAAAATGGTGGTCACTTTGAACAATTTATAAAGTAGTTTATAAAGTAAATTATTGTTTAATTATCGTTTAATTATTGTTTAATTATCAATAAATAATATTATCTTTAATAAATAATATTGTTCTTATTTTATGCAATTTTGTTTTTTCGCTATAAGTGAAACAATCGACTTTAGGGCATATGTGTATTAAGATTTTTTGACTTAGAATGACAAAAAGAATACACAGTTTCAGTGTGGACATCACGTTGCGGGATACACTGTATATACATATACAGGGTGTTTCGGAGCGACAGTATCAGCAGTTTTTTAAGGAAACAACGCATTTTCGTGAAAAATGTTTCATGCAAAAGTTGTAGAGGTCTAAGTGGCGCATTATATAATAATATTAGTATGATCTTGAAAAGCACTGCCAAGGTCACATAAAAATCACTTTAAATTTTTTTAACGGAACCCCCTATTTTCATTACATATTCTTATAGCTTACCTCGAGAGCTTTCCAAAACACTATAATAAAGTATTTTTTCATTAAGTACTTTTTGAGTTATTTTATATTTTAATCTGACATATTTTGATATAAAAATTAAAAAATGGTTCAGAACTTTTCGACTCAGTTTGACCCAATCTACCTCAACCTTTCGTTTGGTCACTTACTTGTCGGACACCATGTATATATATTAAAATTAGTGTAAGTTTAACCCGAGTATAACACAATAAACTCAAAAGTACAGGCTCTGGTAAATACAAATTCAAACATAAAAAATAGCAAGTAAGAGCCAGCGCTGGAGTTGGTGCGCATACTATATTTAACTTAGATTAGACGATTGTCACCCGAATCTAATTCTTACACGCGCAGATAAAGGTAATATCACAGTCGCTCTGGATAGAGATAAGTATATAGATAAAGTGGAAGGAATGCTTAAGGATAGAGAGACATACCTGATTTTGAAAAAAGACCCTACTAATAAACTGATCAATAACCTTCGTGACCTATTGACCAGGTGGAAAAGGGCTGACTTTATTTCGGCGACTACCTATAGGTCATTATTTTGTGGGGATGGGATCTTACCGAGAGCTTATGGGCTACCAAAAATACACAAACCCAATTGCCCATTTAGATTAATCGTCTCTGCTCAAAACAGCCCCTTATATTATTTAGCTTCTTTTTTACATAAGATCATGTACAAAAGTTTTCCACTCACACAAAGTCATATTAATAATAGCTTCCAATTAGTAAAAAAACTTTCAAATATACAGATAACTGATAAATTTAGTCTGATTTCACTAGATGTCATCTCGTTGTTTACGAACATTCCAATAGATGCAGCAATAGATAGTGTATCAAAAAGATGGGATTTTATATGTGAGAATTGTGACATCCCCAAAGAAGAATTTTTACTAGCAATCGAATTTGTCTTGAATTTTACTTTTATCACCTTTAATAAGGTTTTTTACCAACAAACATTTGGCACACCTATGGGCTCACCGTTGTCGCCTATTATTGCAGACATAGTGTTGCAAGATTTAGAAAACAGAGCCCTTTCAACTCTGAAATTCACACCATCTTTTTATTTTAGATATGTCGACGATGTGGCTCTCGCAGTTCCTTCTGATTTAATAGACTACACACTAAACATTTTCAATTCTTTCCACACAAGATTACAATTTACAGTCGAAACCGGTTTAAATAACAGCTTAAATTTTTTGGACATAACAATGTTTTTAGACAACAACCGCATTATTTATGATTGGTACCATAAGGAGACGTTTTCTGGCAGATATTTGAATTTTCTTTCTCAACATCCACTTTGTCAGAAAAGAGGCACGGTTATCGGTCTCTTAGATAGAGCATTTTTACTGTCTCATCCCACAATAACCTTCGTGACCTATTGACCAGGTGGAAAAGGGCTGACTTTATTTCGGCGACTACCTATAGGTCATTATTTTGTGGGGATGGGATCTTACCGAGAGCTTATGGGCTACCAAAAATACACAAACCCAATTGCCCATTTAGATTAATCGTCTCTGCTCAAAACAGCCCCTTATATTATTTAGCTTCTTTTTTACATAAGATCATGTACAAAAGTTTTCCACTCACACAAAGTCATATTAATAATAGCTTCCAATTAGTAAAAAAACTTTCAAATATACAGATAACTGATAAATTTAGTCTGATTTCACTAGATGTCATCTCGTTGTTTACGAACATTCCAATAGATGCAGCAATAGATAGTGTATCAAAAAGATGGGATTTTATATGTGAGAATTGTGACATCCCCAAAGAAGAATTTTTACTAGCAATCGAATTTGTCTTGAATTTTACTTTTATCACCTTTAATAAGGTTTTTTACCAACAAACATTTGGCACACCTATGGGCTCACCGTTGTCGCCTATTATTGCAGACATAGTGTTGCAAGATTTAGAAAACAGAGCCCTTTCAACTCTGAAATTCACACCATCTTTTTATTTTAGATATGTCGACGATGTGGCTCTCGCAGTTCCTTCTGATTTAATAGACTATACACTAAACATTTTCAATTCTTTCCACACAAGATTACAATTTACAGTCGAAACCGGTTTAAATAACAGCTTAAATTTTTTGGACATAACAATGTATTTAGACAATAACCGCATTATTTATGATTGGTACCATGAGGAGACGTTTTCTGGCAGATATTTGAATTTTCTTTCTCAACATCCACTTTGTCAGAAAAGAGGCACGGTTATCGGTCTCTTAGATAGAGCATTTTTACTGTCTCATCCCAAGTTTCACTTAAAAAACATCAACCTTATTATACAGATTCTGCTTAATAATTCCTATCCTTTGCGTTTTATTTTCCAAACTATCCATCACCGGCTCAAATTATTAATCAACAATTCAAAATATGAAAAAATGAATACTAATGCAGAGGACCAACCTAGGACTGTTTATTTTACAATTCCTTATATTCCTTCCATATCTGAACGGTTTATTGATATCATAAAAGACCTAGATGTTAAATTATCTTATTCTCAATAAATACTTTACAATTCCGTATATTCCTTCCATATCTGAACGGTTTATTGATATCATAAAAGACCTAGATGTTAAATTATCTTATTTCAGTCTCAATAAACTGCATAAATATATAAAAACACACAAAGACATCACCCCAAAATCTCTTTGCAAGAATGTTGTATATAAGATTAATTGTTTGGATTGCGATGCTTCCTACGTAGGACAGACACGTAGACATTTGACAAAAAGGATTTCTGAACACCGGAATCATATAAATCGCAACACCACGGTTCATTCAGTTGTTACCGATCATAGGATAAATTTTAACCATAACTTTAATTGGGAGGAGGTGGAAATATTAGATAGCGAACCGTTTCTCCAAAAACGGTTGTTGTCAGAGATGATTTTCATAAAAAGACAAGTAAATAGCCTTAATTTACAAACAGACACAGAATGCTTACCAGATATGTATATGACCGTCATCGATAAAATGTCAAAACTATAACAATCAAACGGTTGTTTGTCACTCCGAACGTTGTCGTCTCGCCGCGTAATGTTTGTCAGTCTATTGTGGGATCTCGCAAAGGATGGTCCATTTAGTCTGACTGCGTGTATACCAGGATATTTTAAGGTACTGACGCCACACTTTCATTATTTCTTGTCATTATTTCTTGTATTTTTAAAGGTCTTTTTTCGTCTTTTTTAATCTATGACAGAATTTTTTAACTTTTTAACTTTTTTAATTCATCTATTTATTTATGGTTTTATAAAATTGACCCACTCAACATTATTTATTGTTTTGGTTTTTGAATAAGTGACTTACATGAGTTTTAAGTTTTATATCTTCTTTACACAACCTATATTAAGCTCTCTCCACCTTGGTGATTCCAGGATGCGTACTAATAAATGTTCTGTGAACTTATCGATTCGGTTGCTCCCTGGTTTGCCAGCCGGGGAGATGCGAACCGTAAAAAATTGAGACTCTCATGACATCCGTGAGGAAGACGTACTTACGATATCTTGGTGATGTCTAAACAACCATTATTATTGCGATACAACTGATTATAGATGATTATTGATCCGCCGATTTAACTATCTTTTTTGTTTGCGATTTTTTCACGCTGAAGAAGGTCCCCAAAAAGGACCGAAACGTTCGTTAATTTGTAATGTCGTAAATCGACAATCGTCTAATCTAAGTTAAATATAGTATGTGCACCAACTCCAGCGCTGGCTCTTACTTGCAATTTTTTATGTTTGAATTTTTAACCCGAGTGTCTCGATTGGTCCTATCAATAAATTAATATTTGTCGGTAACAACTAGAAATCCTACATATATATATATATATATATATATACACACGTAACACACGATGCATTTTAATAATTGTAACGCTGTACTTTATAGGGTGAACCTTTTCAAAAAATGAAGGATAGATTGCTAAAGAAATTAGGAGTACAGGAAAAAGAATTCGAAAAGGTAGGCATCCTTAGCTAATCTTTTTTGATCTCTTATGAGAATTCATAAAAAAACTTTGAAGTTTAAGTTCGCGGTGGTGTCAATGGGCAAGCCACAGTTCATTATCGACTCGCCGGACTGTTGTATCAAAGTCGACGATTTCCTTCCTAGATTTTCCGGTCAGAGTAAGTATAAATTATGTTTCTATTCTCCATTTTCTAACGCATGCGAATAAAGTGAGCGTCGAATAATCGCATAGTCTCACTATATTTAGTACATAGTACATTGTAATATGATGCTGATGAAGAATAAATTTTGTAGTCTATCCACTTTTAAACGCAGGCACATCGCCACACAGGCCTTGGCTTGGCCTGGAACATGTCAACAAAGCGCCAAAGCGCTCTCGTATCAACTACCTCGAAAAGGCCATTAAGATTTACAATTAAATTTCCACCACACGAAGAAGAAATTAAATTAGGCAGCCACTTATAATAATTTATATACGACTCTGTATAGTAAGAGAATGACGTGGAAAACAGAGCTCTTTCAACTCTGAAATTCACATCATCTTTTTATTTTAGATATGTCGACGATGTGGCTCTCGCAGTTCCTTCTGATTTAATAGACTACACACTAAACATTTTCAATTCTTTCCACACAAGATTACAATTTACAGTCGAAACCGGAGTAAATAACAGCTTAAATTCTTTGGACATAACAATGTATTTAGACAATAACCGCATTATTTATGATTGGTACCATAAGGAGACGTTTTCTGGCAGATATTTGAATTTTCTTTCTCAACATCCACTTTGTCAGAAAAGAGGCACGGTTATTGGTCTCTTAGATAGAGCATTTTTACTGTCTCATCCTAAGTTTCACTTAAAAAACATCAACCTTATTATACAGATTCTGCTTAATAATTCCTATCTTTTGCGTTTTATTTTCCAAACTATATCCATCACCGGCTCAAATTGTTAATCAACAATTCAAAATATGAAAAAATGAATACTAATACAGAGGACCAACCTAGGACTGTTTACTTTACAATTCCGTATATTCCTTCCATATCTGAACGGGTTTATTGATATCATAAAAGACCTAGATGTTAAATTATCTTATTTCAGTCTCAATAAACTGCATAAATATATAAAAACACACAAAGACATCACCCCAAAATCTCTTTGCAAGAATGTTGTATATAGGATTAATTGTTTGAATTGCGATGCTTCCTACGTAGGACAGACACGTAGACATTTGACAAAAAGGATTTCTGAACACCGGAATCATATAAATCGCAACACCACGGTTCATTCAGTTGTCGATCATCATAGGACAAATTTTAACCATAACTTTAACTGGGAGGAGGTGGAAATATTAGATAGCGAACCGTTTCTCCAAAAACGGTTGTCAGAGAAGATGATTTTCATAAAAAGACAAGTAAATAGCCTTAATTTACAAACAGACACAGAATGCTTACCAGATATGTATATGACCGTCATCGATAAAATGTCAAAACTATAACAATCAAACGGTTGTTTGTCACTCCGAACGTTGTCGTCTCGCCGCGTAATGTTTGTCAGTCTATTGTGGGATCTCGCAAAGGATGGTCCATTTAGTCTGACTGCGTGTATACCAGGATATTTTAAGGTACTGACGCCACACTTTCATTATTTCTTGTCATTTTTAAAGGTCTTTTTTCGTCTTTTTTAATCTATGACAGAATTTTTTAAATTTTTTAACTTTTTTAATTCATCTATTTATTTATGGTTTTATAAATTTGACCTACTCAACATTATTTATTGTTTTGGTTTTTTAATAAGTGACTTACATGAGTTTTAAGTTTTATATCTTCTTTACACAACCTATATTAAGCTCTCTCCACCTTGGTGATTCCAGGATGCGTACTGATAAAAGTTCTGTGTACTTACCGATTCGGTTGCTTCCTGGTTTGCCAACCGGGGAGATGCGATCTTTAAAAATTGAGTATCTCATGACATCCTTGAGGAAGACGTACTTACGATATCTTGGTGATGTCTAAACAACCATTATTATTGCGATACAACTGATTATAGATGATTATTGATCCGCCGATTTAACTATCTTTTTTGTTTGCGATTTTTTCACGCTGAAGAAGGTCCCCAAAAAGGACCGAAACGTTCGTTAATTTGTAATGTCGTAAATCGACAATCGTCTAATCTAAGTTAAATATAGTATGCGCACCAACTCCAGCGCTGGCTCTTACTTGCTATTTTTTATGTTTGAATTTGTATTTACCAGAGCCTGTACTTTTGAGTTTATTGTGTGATAAAATATTAAAGAAAAACTTTTAATTTTGAGAATTTTCGCGGTGCATTTAGAAAAGTATTGTCTTATTATTATATTTAGACATTCTTACATATGAACGCTCCTGAGACGAAGCGTCGCGCTCCTTAGTTACGCGTATCTGGCGACTCGTTGCTAACGCACGAGCGGTGAGGGGGGGGGGCAATAGGCGTGAGCCACGGAATCGGGCCGAAATGTGCAAGTAAATCCCAGCACTGACTTGTTTAGTCTATCATTGCAATGAGTGAAAATCACAACGATTCACACGATAACGTCGGTGTTTGAAAACATTCTGTTCTACGTAGTTGTTAAAAGCAAATTGGATGGTGTTTTACTTTGGTGCCGTACAGAAAAGGTACTATATAAAACTAATATACATGTATATTTTTGTTTTTAGATTTTAACTGAAAGTTCTAAATAAAAATTCCTATTTATATATATTTATTGCTATAGATTATAGACCGCTACTAATATAGACTGTCTTTATTATATCTTTTTTTAAATAATATTGTTTCAAATTTTTGAAAAAGGTTTTGTAAAGGTTTTGAAAAGGATCAAAAATTGATGTTTAATAAATACTTTCTTTCAGAAATTGACATAATCATTGAAAACTACTAGAAATGTTATGAACATTATGATAGAGGAGATAAAAATAAAGATCGAATAAATTTAGAAATTTACAAAAGCATATAGAACAACATAATATTATCAAAAAGATGCTCGTCGGATAATTATTGTCATTTAATTAATTAATTCGCCGAGAAAAAAAATCATAAAAAAATCTTTCAAGAAATCGCGATATAACGGATTTAATGTGTTAAAATAAGCATTAAATGCATAAATTATGCGCTTCTGCTGATAATGATTTGCAATTAACAGAGAAGATAATATATATAATTGATTATACGGCTCGTATGACTAAAATCAAATGTCGATGTAAACTGGCAGTACCGAGCCAAGCGCGGTATAAAGAGCGCAAACACTGCTTTATTAATTACTAAATATACACTAATCGCGGACGTTTTGGCCCTTTTTTGGGGCCATTTTCAGCGTGGAAACAAAATAATACGGTCTTAAATAACTAAACGCAACTACGACATTCGGTAATACATCCAGTGGATCTCTTACGCAACCGGCGACATCCCATCATTAAGAGAATCCATGTCCTTCCAAAGATAATTCCTCGAATTTCTTGGGTGGTAGATAGACATGGCAGTACTTATTTTATTTAATCTATAAGTAAGTTGGGCGGTATAAGGCGGATGACCGAAAGAAGTATTTAAAACAGTTGTGATGCTTACAAATGCACAGGTTGACACCGACCAATCGTAGATGTAATCGGAGAACTACACTCTCCAACTCTCGGAGGAACAATGACACACGGTAAATATGACATAATGTTGGTTTAGCCAGGTTGTCAACCAGATGTTAATAAACAATATACAAAATCACAAACACGCAAATAAATAACACGATCCCGTGACAAAGTGGAAAGATTGACGCAAACGGTAAAAAATAACAAAAATAATAATAAAGTCGAGAATAATAAGATTAAATTGTTGACAAGGAGCGAAGCTTAGCAAGATACCTAAAAGCCCCATTGTAGCCGCGCCTTCGATT